AATTAAGATATACGGATAAATTAATGATATATGAATGGGGTCGCCCTATAAACGGTTTGCGACGTATGTGTGTGGCAGAAGTCATATTCTTGGCTATAGATGGCACCCCTGGAAAACATGAAGAAATGCACCCCTTTGCCTTAATGGCATACTACAATTTCCATAGAATTAAAACATTATGTGTGAATGTGGTTAAAAAAGTACCTTTGAACTTTGATTTATTCAAATATCTGGTTCAATTTGCTTTGAAGCTCTGAATTGGATTGAGTTTAGAATTTATAATTAATGATGCAAGAGCCTGATGTGGCTATACTATGCTAAATTTGGGGTAAAAAATTTGAGATACAGCAATATAAAGGTAGCAAAATTAAATGATGCAAGAAAAAGTGCCTAACATTAAATATTAAAAAAGTTAGCTGTGTGTTACAAATTTATACAAGGTAACCAATGGATGACCAGGTAGTTGCAATATAATTAAGGAAATAAAGCACTCCATAAAAAGGTTTATTAGAAAAATAATTAGTTTAAAGAGGTTTTTTAAATTACTTGTAAATTACTACAACACAGCTAAAAAAAAATAGAAATTGAGATTTTCAAGTTTAAAACTTGACTAAGAAATAATTTCTGGATGATACACTGAAATAAAGGACAGCTATAGCTATTGAAATAAGACAAACATAATGCACTTCTTCTATGTTGAGGCAAATTTATTTAATATTTATTGCAATGTTTGTTATATTAAATTTAAATTATTAATAGCAATGTTTATTTATACTTTTGGTGATGGTTTTAATAAATTTTAAGTGCAAAATTTTGGAGTTATTGAGCAAGAAATAATAAACAAAAGATTTTAATATAAAATGTAACTATTGCTATTAAAGTGACTGCAATGCATTCTTCAATTTTTAAATTCTGTCAACTGAATATTGAATTCATGTATCATAGATATCAATACCAACTGTATGCATTATCAAATTTAACCCTCAGGGAATTTTTCAAATGAGCAAAAATTAGAAGACTTTTTCCTTGGGTGTAATCGTCCAATATAGGTCCTCAAGTCGCTATTAGGAGAAAAACTTCAGGTACTAATGCAATTTTTAATTTAGACAACTGTCAAAAGGTTAGATACAATAAGTAACTATTTTAGATAACACAAACAATAAAATTCTTGCATATATTATAAATAAAACATATTTGAAAGAATTTTTATGCAAAAAAAAAAATTTCATAAGTTCAAACTTTCCACACAATACTTAATTTTGAGCTTTATTTCCTGAGAAATTTATATAAAATAGCTTTAATAACTATGTATTTAATTGCAAAAAACTGATACCATCTAAAATAGAATGAATCGTTAAAAAAATATCCACCTACCCAAATTAAGAGTCACATAAAATCCATTAATCAAAGAGTTTAGTTATCTAACAGGGTAACAAGAAAAAAACCTGAGAGAAACTTTACAACCAAATGTTTTCATCACAACATACCACAAACTATTGGTCTTAAGATTTTGTTAAAACAAAATACTTTCCAACAGAATCTTACACCAGTACACAGAGACAAAAGCACTCAAAAATGGTCCAAGGCACATTTTCCTAATTTTCTTTCAATACAAGAAGCAAATACTGTCTTATTCAGCAGATTTGGATCCAGTGAACTTTTCCATTTGATCCCTGTGTCAGACAAAGATTTGTGCTAAATCGCATAAGACTTACGCATCACTTAAAAAAAAAATTTTAAAAAATGTGAGAATGAGGTAAAATGAGGTGAATTGCAGCCCTTAGCAGAACATTTTGTGACATGTTTACAGGTCTGCATCAAGGCAAAAGAAATTCAGTTTAAAAAATTTTTTAAATATGTTTTAGGTAGCAATGCTTTCATGTTTGTTTGTTTACAATATTTTGAAATTTTGTATTCTGTGTGCCCATGTTATTTCTTGTCACCTTGTATAATTTCATGACTTCATAAAGTTCTGCATTTTTTCCCATCCCTTATGACAATGTTTCCCAAACTTATGGCTTTTATGTACCCTTTCTAAATTTTTCGTAACACTGTGCAGCACTAATAAAAAAATGAATGGATTTTTTACAATAAAAAATTGCACTAAAGTTAAAAATCACAACTGGCTGTTGACACCACTAATTATTAACTGTTGACTCAGCAAAAAAATAGCAATAGAAAAATACGTAATCGTACATTTTCATGGCTAGCTTTGTTTTTAAATAAAATTTTTTGAAATTTTCGTTTGTTGCAAGTTATTTCGCATAAGAATGCGTACCCCTGCTAAACTGTTCCCGTACCCCTGGGGGTACGCGTACCACACTTTGGGAAATGCTGCCTTATGAGAGCAAGTGCAAATCAGACAAAACTTTTCTCATACTTCCGGGATTAATATCTTAAACTATCGAGAATGTTTGAGAAGAAAACATTAACCATAGCATTTAGGTTCTAAATGACAAAAAAAAACAATGAGAATCCGAGGAGACACGATTTACTTCAAGCAGATTGTAAAAAGTTTACTTCAAGCGAATTGAAACAGGATTGAATTTCTAATCAAACAGGGGAAATATATGTAATCAGAGTAAGATAATATAAATCTGTAACTTTATGGGCTTAGTGGTATGAAGAAAATAAATTAAGAAAGAAATTTAAAAAGAGTGTGAACCTTCAAAATTAAAGCCCTGAATATTAAATATGTAAGAGTAATAAATTCCTCTGAATTGAGTGTTTCTAAGCCACATTCATCCTTAACATTACTATATAATATTAAATATTCTAAATTAGATAAAACACCTTATTTTTTACAGACATAGCAATAAACTTAACCAAATATAGAGGTAATATTGATAATGTTTATCAATAAACTATATTTAACACTATTTGCAATTATATAAATTAAACATTTTAAGATAAATATTAAAAACTTAATAGAAAGGAAAATAATTTTGAAGTTATTTATCATATTATTTGAAAACTTCTTATACCGTATTTCATGCATAGAATATGAACAAAATATATTAGTTAAAATAATGTTTTTAATGCCACAAATTTACTATATATTTTCTCTGAATGGTACTATGGGAGAGATTACTTCTGCCAAAATGCTAATATTGCAAATGAAACTAGAGAAAATATTCGGAAAAACGCAGCAAAATTTTGGGACAATGGAAACAATAAAGTAAATTAAAATTCACAAACTTAAAATATACTTTTTCAAAACTAACAATACTGCTAGAATGTACAGCATCATATATGCAGTTTTTCTAAGTTGCGTATGATTTTTTTTTTCCTGTATGAATACTTTAGCATTATTCTTATAATTATCATTCATTTCATCATTTTAATCAAAAGAGTGATAGTTGTTTTGTTTTTCTTCTATTATACATAATGCATATACATTATAAAATGTTTCACAAAGTAACAAGACAGCATTTTTAAATTTTTGTTTAAAAATGAAAATGTTAGTTCATTGATTAACATTATCTATATTAATTATAACTTTTTAATTAAAAGACTGTTTGGGATTTTTCTATTATACTATAGTATGTTGCATTACAGATAATATAGTTCTATAGGTTGTTTCATTAAGCATATATAGTTTTTATTAATTGTGAATTATTTTTTCTTTCGTATAAAAAATTGGCAACATTATTCATTTGACTATCATTATATCAATACTATATAATGTTTATTAAAATACTATTAATTTTTTTTTCTTCCATTTTACCTTAGATGTTTTTAATATTAAACTTCTGAGCATTAGTCCTGATTTTTTCAAACTACAATACATTTATATTGCAAAAATATATTACAAAAAGTGACAGTTCCAACTGCTACTAAAGTTTTAGGTAGGTAATAATATAACAGATGAAACAATTGATAAAGAAACCAGATATTTCGCCAATGAATATCACAGATAAATAAGCCCCTGTCAAACATTGCATGCAAACATAGCAAATGTCATTCCTAATTATGGAGCATACAAAATGCTGTACAAATTAAGCCACTTTTTTTTGCAAACATCTAGCAATTTTTGAAATTCATTCTAGACCAAAGAAACAGTACATATGAAGCGAAATTTTCTAAAATTCATTCTTTAGGTAACTAAAATTGAGATTTTTCACAAATGTTTTTACTTTCAAATGATTGATGTCACCCGGCACCACATATTTTTAGTTAAACAAAATTAAACATCCATTAAATGAAATATAATGTCGATTATATGCACCACATTATTTTTAAGTTTGTAAAAAGAGGAAAACAAAATTCTCGAACCTCAAAAACATAGCTAATTTTTAGAGTTTTTATTAATAATTTTCATAACAGATAATTAAAATAAAAAGTATTATATCTTCTTTCTTTAAAAGACATAATTTATTTAAAAAAAAATTTACAAAGAACTTTAAAAGTGAACAATTAAATTAATTGATTTAGTTGGTTAGTAAAATATGAATCTTAATTATAATTTTTACTCATAACTTAATTTTAAGTAAAAATACTTTTAAACATTAGAGAAATAATTGTAGTAAATAAAAATGTAGCTGAGATGTATAAAAACAATAGATATGCACAAATTAATTTATATCATTCAGTATGATATTTTAATCACAGATTTAAAAAGTTAAAATAAAATACTTCATAATGAATGTATGATAACTGCAGTTTAAAATTATATGAGCTTTTAAACTATAACTCATTAAACAAAAAGAATAAAAAAACATTCCATCGTAAACTATAAAATTTATTCTGGATACTAATATTTGATAACTACAAACATAAGAAAGCAAGAATAATAGCTAGATTTATAATTTTAGAGATGAAATAATACCTTCAGCATGTAACCGATAATTTCGTGTAATATATAATCCAATATCACTTCCTATTCTTTTTGTTTACCGAACTTGACAGTGGGATTACCGTTCATCGGGATTTAACAGAAACAAAGTAAACAACGTGTTTTCAAGAGGAATTTAGATGAGATTAATTACGAATCAGCTTACCTCGTGAGGTTGAGGATGCTTATGGGAGCACACTTTTGCGTTTTTGTGACAGTTCACATGAAATACAAATATAGATAAATTTAATAACAGCCACACATCAACTACCTTCCATCTTTCTCTTGCCACCATTTTGACAATGCACATTATTCTGCGCGCTCTAGCGAGTAGAACAGCAGACGACCGGAGAAGAAAACAAAACTAGAAACAAAATAAAAATAAAAAACCGAAAAACAGCTGATTCCATGCAAAAAAAAATTATATAAATATATGAAGAACTACTCATAAAATTTTTAATACCAACAATTGCAGCAGTGTTGAACAAAACACATTTTTAATTCTCTCACAAGCACACTGCATTTTTCTTTCTTCATCAATGTAAGGGTCATTTTCACTGCAGCTAGGAAAATCAGGGGTATGAATTCGGAGATGCGATCGAGAGCTTGATTGGTTAGTTTTTTGCATGTAAATATAATTCACCAATTAAGCTTTCGTTCGCATCTCCGAATTTTTTTCGCGCAAAGTCCCTTTACTACTCTAGCGTAGCTCACCTGGCATGATCTACCGAGGTATTATTTAGATCGCTACACAACAAGTTTTTATTTTAATTCTGAAAATAGGGTGCTCAAAAGGGGCACAAATGACGGTGAATTAAGGCTTTGAGAGAATCCGACAATAGCAAATGCAGAGATCTGTATTTTCGAAATGAGCAATGGAAAGGGTATCTGCGCTGAAACCGAAACATTTTAGAACTAGAGTTTATGGAGCATAAGCATTTGGTGCTTATTCCATTAATTTTTAAACACTTTAGAGTGTTCTAATAAATATGGCTGACTTATGAAACTGCTACGCACAGGAAATAGTCCTTTTGAGCTAATATACTTACCCTTACCACTGAATTTTAAACACATCAGCAAATTATCAAAATACTATAATAAACTCTACAGATAGGTCAGTCACACGAGTGGTCATACGAATATGCAGTAAAAGGCATACCAGTGGCTACTTGCTGTATGTTTACCGTAGGATGCGCAGAGATGATGTGCGTGGAATAATGTAATTTATGAACATTTGCCTCCAGTATGCCTTTCTGCTTCATCTGTGTGCGTCACCTGTTTGGGTCGATTTTAAGAACCGTCATGAATCAAATGCAATATTGCCACTAGATATTCAAAATCTAGCTGAGAGCACTGGGAGCAAAGGACGCAATACGGTGAAACGTAGGAGTTCACTAGGAAACCCAACCAAATCTTGATTCTTAAAATCATACTCTATGTTTCTACATGATTGAACTTCTAATCAAAAGTTGAAAGGCAATTTTTCTTTGTAATCCTAATTAGTAATACAAAAAACACCCATAGTTTTTGAAAGACGGAAAAAACCCTGGATTTAGGGGGAAAGAGTCCTTAATTTTCGGGAATATTGGGAATTTTTCGGACAAACAAAACTGGCCTTTATCACATATAAATTGAGATTAATGTATGTTATTTAACAACTACAACGTGGACGTTGCTCGAGGCGGTATATATTCCTCTCAATAATTAGTAATCTCTAAAATCCCTTTAATATTTCAGAAAAATCGAGAAAACTTTCATCGATTTAGATTCACTAAAGTTAGAAGCAAAGAAATAAAAATAACAGTAGATATTAGCATTTTTTGCTAACATCTACATACTTTTTGCTGATAAAAAAATATAACAGCAAATATTTAAAGCTATAATGATCCATCAATATATTTAAGAACTATACTGATCAAGTATCTTAATCTCATCCCTTTCAAAAATTGGGCACCTGCGTCATCCACGAGTTGCAATATAATAATAATAATAATAAAGGTAAAATTTGCATTTGAGTAACGACATGTACTTAATTTTAATTGCAATGCTCTTCAATGTATTTTCTCCCCAAAACACTTACTTGAAAATATCTTGTAACACTTTATTAAAAACAATGCTTAAATTTAATATTTTTTTTACCAAAATAATTGTTTTGCAACTAAGAGTCCCGCAGTGAACTGATCGTTAAGACACGGTTCCCAGCAGAACACCGAAGTCAAGCATCACTGGCTACGGTCAGTGTGCGGGTGGGTGACCACTTGGATCAGTCTGCGTAGGGACCGAGGGTGTGCGGTATTGGTCCTCGTTAAACTGTGCTACCGTAAAGTGCTCGACTTCGCGCGCAGGTCGTCGGGCTACCGAAGCGGGGGTGCCATCTCCTCCGCAGAGGATCAAAATTGTGATGGCATGTCTTCGGATCATCCTCCGGGATGTTTCCCAGACCGTCGCCAATAGCCCATTGTGCAGCTCTAGTGCGACGTAAATTAACAACAATAACAACTAAACAATTTTTTATAATAATTATAGAAGATATAATATGTTTATTAAAAACATTCTTTTTTTATATAAATTATTTATGCAAGAAATTAAGAAAAGAGCATGAAGTAGAATGTTCTTTTTAAAATTATAATATCAAAGATTAAATCTAACGTTAAACATTCTACAAAAGATAATCAAATCATTTTCCATAATGCTTTTTGTGAAAAACAGGTTTCTGGCACATCTGCTGAAGAATGTAAATGTGTTGGAGCAGTGCTTTCCCGGGAATAAAAGTTTTTTTTTTATTCACCTTTTTAAATACTATAAGTATTGGGCTCGATTTATTTACACAACTGTTGATGGACTTTCTATTTGCAAAGATTCAGTTTCTTCTACCAGGGAAGTTGTAGTATATTTACGTCGCATTAAAGCTGAAAAATGGGTTGATGGTCTCGGAAATATCCCTGACCTGAAAACATACCATAATCATTTTGGTCTTCTGCAGAGGGGATGGAACCCCTGCTTCGGCAGCCCGACGACCTGCACGTGAAGTCGAGCACTTTACGGTATAACAGTTTAATGAGGACCAATACCGCACACCCTCGGTCCTTTCGTAGACTAATCGAAGTGGTCACCCACCTGCACCCTGACCGCAAGCAGTGATGCTTGACTTCGGTTTCTACTGGGAACACAGTCTTAACGATTAGTCCACTGCGGGATCTTTACCGAGAAAGAAAACAGATTTACTAAATTATAAGAGATCGAAATGGGCTAGAGATGGCGCATAGTAGAATTCTTTACCTATGGCAACACAAAGCATACGTTCACCATTAGCGCGTGGATAGTCTCAGGAGGTAGAAGTGTGTTAGCTTCTGTTTTGATCTTTAAATCGATTTAAAGTTTAATCTGGTAAACTATATAGAACTCAATAATGCAATAAACATAGTACTTAATTTAAACAGCATGGTAATTTTAAAAAATATTTTTGAATATCTACATGTGAAAAATAATATGAAAGGGGGAAACAACGTAATACATTCCCTTTCAGAAGATGAGGGAGAAGGCTCTAGACATGGAACTGGACTTCTCCCAAATTCTATTCAAGTGCTGCGATCTTGAACAAGATTACCCAAGAAACATTAACGGTATTTCTTTTAACAACCAAGATTCTCTCTATGTGCGAAAAAATTTGCGTATGCGAATCCGGAGTTACGAACAAGAACCTGCTTGGCGAGTGTTTAGCTGGCAAATATATTTTACACATTAAATGATTTACTAATCTTTTTTTTTTTTATTCAGAGAAGTGATATAATGAGAAATTTGGTGCTGTGCTAGATTTTTGCAACAAAAAGAAGTAATGTAGATAAATAAATAAAAAAATTGGAGCATGGAATCAATAGAGCACCATATCCCAGAGTCCATGCTGCTTTCAGATCTTTAAAATATTAGTTATTCAATTGAATCGACGAGTACGAAAAGCAATAATCTCATTTTTTAAGAAATTGAGTTCGTTGCATTCTTTAGCTTTAGCTGATGTAGATACAAAGGCTATAAAAAAAAATTCATGTCTTTCTGCTTGGTATAGAATATTTTGTGCAGTGAAAACTCAATTCAGTTCGAAAACATGCCATATCCTGGAGATGACCTGTTCTTGGAATAAACTTGAAAATATACTGCAAGACGGCTGAGGCTGCTTATGAAATTGTTCCTGTTACCTAATTATTATTTAGTTTAGGCTCGTTATTTTGTTGATGCTTTTTATTACACAAAGGTTAGTTTTTTAGATGGTTTGTTCAAGAAAATAAAGAGGGATAAATGTAACTTTGAACTGTTAAGGAGATGACTACAAATAATATACTTTATTTCAAAAGCTGATGGTTGGATCATTATGAAAAATGTGTTGTCAAGATGCTCACCTGGAAAAGCAAGAAAGGAGAAACAACAGTTTAAGGTGTCACATTATAACAATTTTACTTGTAAAAGTACTACACATAGTGAAGTTGAAGCATCACCTTTCATTGGTGATTTAAGCAAATTAATATTTAGTCTGTACAATTAAGTATCCTAAAAGTGGCACATAACCAGTTTTCAGAAATGTTGCCATAAACCACAAGAAAATTACAGACATCAAAAAAATTTTAACAACGCTAACCAAATAATTTTTTGTCTTTCTATGGAAGAAATTTGTAAGTGGCCCAGCACAGATTACAAAATATTTCGAAGTTTACACATACACCCACGAGTATGTAGTCTAAGACTTAAATAAATTAATTATTTCAATTTTAAATGACAAATCATTAATATTTTCGTTTGTTAAAAATATTGAAAAGTATTCGTTTAAAATTTTCCTCTGAAATCTAGTAATTTCCAAGTTTTAGAAAGTTTTTTAAATTAAAAAATTAAGTAATGTTATCGCACAATTTCACTAGTATATTTTGCAATTACCAATATTTTAATTTTAAAAAATGAAAAAAAAAAGCTCTTTACATCAAGCCGATACTTAACAATTAATTTATTTGTTTCTCCTGCAAAAATAGTTTTGTTAGAGATTACCTGTTTTCGAACTCTTCGACTCAATTTGAGTAAATATATTCTGTTGAGAAATTTTCAATTTTTTAAACTTGAAATGATTATTGACAAATTAGAATTTTAGAAAATGCATAATTATTTCGCTTGAGATTAATGACATGTTTTTATGATGGATAGAAGTTGCAAGTTCGGTAAATGAAAATGAAATAAATGTCATAAAAAGATTTGTTTTTAACTAAATGATTTATTCATTGATTCGGCCAATGATGAGCATACACACCTTAATGCATGTTATAATTAAAGTATATTTTAATGAAAATGATAACACATTTCATAAAATTTCTATGCTTGGCCTAAAATGCGTCAATATGTAAGAATAAGGCAAAAATTTGTGAATAGCCGAAATTCTCCAAGAGAAAGTCAAAATAAGATATAGTCTGGCAATAAAATAAATTGTATTAGATAAATTTTTAATAATCTTAACAATTCCCTCATAATTAATTTTGTATTTAAAGTGGTTTTTTGAACATTTGCTAAGTTACAAAGTCGTAAAATGATAATTTTATCCAAAACTTGAATATTTCATCCTTCAAGACCTATGTATTGCTAATGAGGTGTCTGAGCCTGTGCCATCTTTATTACTGGTTCACTAAATTTCTATTTTTGAAGTGAATTTAAATTTAAAGAGATTACTTTACAGTGTTAAAACCCTTGTAGCTCAGTAAAACAATCTTAAGACTGATTCTTATATAATTGTTGCCATGGCAATGAAAATGAGAACACTTTCTGCTGCTCTTTAATCAATCATTATACAAAAATAAAGAATTTGTAAGAAAATCTTCATATGTTTCATGCAGTTTTTATTTCTTTTAAGTGCATGCATACAATCTGTATTGACAATATGAAACAACATACATTAAACAACTTGATATATATTTTAAATGAGTATTTTTCTGAAAGTTAAGTAATTTTTATATTAATAAAAGTTGTTTTCAGATTGTTATATTAATGAAATGTTTCAATATTGAAAAGCAATTAAAAAAAAAATTTGATTTAAACTTTAATTTTTAAAGAAAAATAAATTGATATATTTTCATCTGGTGTTTGAAAAAATACATTAATTAAACAGCAATTGAATGAAAAAAAAAAACATTATTTATTTCAAAGTTGAATGAATCTGCAGTACAAGTATTACACTATATATATATATTAGAAAAAAAATTTGTGGGCACTCACAAAAATGTTTTAAATTTCAATTTTTTAGAAAAAAAAGGAGTACAGCTTTATTTGTATCAAAAGCATAAGTAAATGCAAGAGCAATCACATTTAATTGAAAAAAAAAAGGAAACAAAAAGGTAAACATTAATATAAAAGGGAGAAAATGTATAATCATTGGTGCCACATTGTCTGACAAATCTCTCTTTGTTAAAATCACACTACAGATGCAATTAAAGAATTACAAAAGAATTCATCGTAACAACTATATAAAGATATTTATATATATTTATACATATATAAAAAAGGAATCATAGTCAATCTGCCTTAAACAAACAAACATGGCAGCTTAGAAACCATTACAAAACATGGCTCCATAAAAATTGCATGAGAAATATTACAACACACGTTTTTGCAATTTTTACCTGAAATAAAAGCTCAGAAAATTATTATGGCTTTATAAAATCCATTCACAAATGATAGTTAAAAAGAAAACAAAGCAACAAATATAATAAAACTTAATTTAAGACAACAATGTCAGTTGAAGGTGATTAAAAAATGATTAAGTATAGTTATACAAACATATTGCAAGATGTAACAAATCGAAATGCCAGCTTCTAAGTCTAACAAACAGTAAATTGTAATTTTTACCTGTAAATTTCATAATTCATCATATTGAACAGATAATATTTTTTTAAATGTGGTAAAAATATTCTATTTGTATCAATAAAAGAAAAAAATAATAGGATTTAACAACATGATTCAGTTATGAATTTATTGCATGTATTTCCAAAATAAAAAGTTCAACATTTTTAATAACAACAAACACAATTTAGAATAAAAGATTTACTAGTCAATACTAACTTTTAGACTTTAAAAGTTACAGTTACTTGATTAGTCATTTGTTTATTATTTGCTGATGAATAATGAAACTAAGGTTAAAAACATTTTACCTCATACATAATTAGGTTAAGCACCTTTAATTAGATTTAAACTAATCTATTAATCACACGTTTTAAGGAATAAAGAGAGGGAAGAAATTTTCACTTGCACCGCTTCAAGAAGAAATCAAGGACACAACGCCTAAGAATGGTTTCAATACACAATACATGTTTAATACAAAATCTGAGATTCTGGAGTAAATATCTACCTGACAGCTACAAACTTGCTTTGATTGGTTGATTTTTTTTTTAACTCTACAATAAATGGTATATAATTTATTATTTTTTTTTCTTCCTTTGAGTTTGGAACAAGACAGTCTTGAGCATGTATGAGCCAAATGTCTCCAGTTCTAAAGCATTTGTATTTTAAATTTGTCACAAAATTTATTTAATAAAGCGCGATGATTCTTGTTATCAATTGATTTGCTCTACATAGTTGGCAGGCAGCATTCCAGACTGTCCAGTTCTCTGCACAGTCCCTGTCATCCAACCATCATCAATGGCATTGCAGTTGATGATCATATCACCATCCAGGAAGCTCACCTCATCTGAATCTTGGGCAACATAATCATACATTGCTTTGAAAGTATGCTAGTAAAAAAATAATAAAAATTAACATAAATTTAGAAATGAAAGAAAGCTGGTATACACATATGATTCAAGGGCGTCGGCAGTGGGGTGCAAGAGGGTGCATTTGCACCTCCCTGGCTTTTCTTTTAAACAATTAAAGAGATACAGAAAAACAATTTTGTAATAAAATATTTTTATTAAAAATATTTTTATTCAAAAACAAATAATTAAGTAATTATTGATGCATAACAATTAAAAAATTGTTTAATCAAACAAGAATTGTAATCGTCTTGTTTGCTGTCTAAATCTGTTTATGACTTTTCCAATGAATTCTGAGTCATTCTTTTCTTATGCACACTGAGCATGCACAAACTTGGCAGATATCTAAGCTATATTTTTAAATTTAATTTAATAAAATATAAATAATATTATATTTTCTATTAGTTATTTAGTTTAACAAAGGTGTATGACACAAACTGACTTCTCACAACTGTAAAACTTCATCAACACAATAAATACTAATGTTAAGCGTGCACAAACATGTAAGTATACAAAACCACTGTTTGTAGTCGTTTGTATTTCAAAGTCAGTGGCTATGCCAGCATCATCAATACAGTTTCTCATGGCAAAATTTGCAAGTACAAGAAATTCAAACTTTTTTTTTAAATATATTGTTAACAATGAAGAAATATATCTTGAAACAATTAACAGATGAAAGTATATGTAATAACAAAACAAAATATAATAACAGAATATTTTTATTTTTTTTGGGAGGGGGTAGTTTGTTAGAGGGTTACACCCCCTTTTATATTATTCTGCCGGTGCCCTTGATTTGATTCCAGATTATTTGATATCTATGGAAAATCAAATCTACCTACATAAAAGCTCCATGAAGAATAACTATGTCAGAAAATCAAAATCATTTAATTATTAGGAGATCCTTTTTCAGATTTATTTTCCATATCTACGTGCATTGTAAAGTTAGAGAGGGGTAAAACTACGAAATATTATAAACGAATATTATATTGTAAGTAATTACAGTCTGTTTTTCTTTTTGTTTTTTTTTTTAAGAATATTTTTTTCTTTATAAATACCTTTAAATCAATAACAGAGTGAAAATATCTTACATAAAATCATATTAACTTAATTTTAAGACTGTATTTAACACAGCTGGGGAGAAAAGGACAACAGAAGTATTATCTTTGAGGCGTTCTTGAAAGATGATCAATCGAGAAAAATCCCTTCCACAGACCCTCATGACTCACAGGTATGCATTGCTTCTTTTATTTTCCATGAATCATGGGATGTTTACTCCCAAGGAGGTATTTATTAACCAGGTTTCCAATCAAGTGATAGATAGGTGTTAGGGGATATAAACCTAACAATTGAAACCGATTGAGGACTAAAAGCTCCTATTCGGTATCATATGTCTAACTTGAATATCTGTGCTAATAGGAAAATTATATTCATTTATCTGTAGCTACATCTAGAATTATGTATTTATATCAAACTTTTTTATATTCACTTTTATCGAAAAAATAATTTTTAAAGTGTGAATAAATAGATTATTGTAGATTCTTTACTTATTTCTATATCTTTAAAAATATTCTAAAAAGAATTTATGGTGTCAAACTTCGTCATTAGGGTACCTTCCCGTAAACGGACAACTCTCATAAACGAACAATTATCAAAAAAAAATTTTAATTTGAAAAATACAAACTTTGAAGGAAAAAAAAAAGGATGAATGAGAAACAACTATTGGGTTCCAATTTCACTTAAAATTTAGTTTGCTTGAAGTTTAATGTCTCATTATTATTCTTAAAGAATTCAAAATAAAAAATTTTTTGGATGCTATGAAAAAAACACTTTGAGTTGGCCTACATTTTTTAATTGCATCGTTTAATTATTTAAAGGAGATTCAATTTTTTTTCTGTTGTGGCTCCTTGCATAATGAAATTTGCATTTGACCATTTAAATTAGGCCATCTTATCACATTTTAAGATATAAATAATCTTATTAACCTCTTAGTATATTTATTAACATATTTTCATTAAATAGAAGCTGCTTATCACTCAACAGATAACAATTATTCTTTAAAATTAAAATTGTTGATAGAAAATATGCCAAGTTTTAAATAAGAAAATGTCAAGAATGCTCAAGTTCAAGGAAAGAAGTTAACTACCATAAAATTAATAAAAACTAATTTAAAACTGGATTTAAAATTGGTTTATCAACTGAAATTCACATCACTTATAGTTGTCGATTTTTACTAGCTAGAAGTCAATGAGCAATATTGAATAAATAAAAGTGTTAGCTTATAAGCATAATTTCATAACATACCAAAGTTGTAAAAGAAAATGTTGCACAACTGAAGTGAGATGATGATATTTGGCTAAGCTCTCAGTTTGGTAAATTTTACGTACAATAATTAAATAAGTTTGAAAACATCACATATTGCAAAGAAAGAGAAATAAAATTAAAATAAATCCTTTTTATAGGGGAAATCTAGAAGTTGAGTACAGATACTTATCAGAAATTTACTTACGCCAGCAGCCTTGGGAACACTAGGAACTGCCTCTTGTGCTACAATAAGAAAATAATTGCTTATAAATAATGTAAAATCATTAAATTTTAAATAGAATAAACAAGACGACATGAGAAAAAATACATAAAAAATATACACTTTTGTATGCAAAAAAATTTTCAAACCATTGTATCATTTTTTTCAAAATAAATTAATTAAAATTACTTTTTTTTCTTCCCAATACAATTAGCCTTTTCATAGAATATTTTGAATGAGTAAGCATTGGACATTTATGCTATTGCTCTACAACTTCTTCAAAGAAGTTTAATTTAAATGAAATAACAATTGAGACATTAGAGGTACAGTCACTAGCTTGCTATTTTTTAATAAATTTTGATGTGCTTATCTTCTCCCTTTTATTTAAATATTTTTTATGTTATAGATACATCTAATTAAATTTGAAATTTCAATTATGTGCCTTTTATAAAAGCAAATTTAATGATATAAAATGCTACACAAGAAGAGGACAGTGAAATATTAACTATACAATCCATATAATTATATGGAGCAAATAAATAAAACTTCAACCCTAAAATAGTAAAAATACTACTTTAAAAAAAATAGGCTTAAATAATTTATTCTGCACCGCTAGGTTACAAACTCATACATTGAATTGAAAATAACTTGAAAACTGAAAATTTAATATTCCAATTTTTTTTGCAATTTTTTAGTGGCATGCCGCATTTTGAGAGAAAATTACTGAATATACAATTTAGAAACAGTCAAAGATTTTTATACAAATAAAACAAATGTAGATATTTAAGTTTCTTTCCATTACAACATTGATCAACATTTTGTGGGTGGAAATTTTGGTGTAAAATCTATACAATTTTTTGTATTACCTGAAGATATTAAATGTTTAAAGAATATTTTATGCAAATAACTTTTATTTCTTCTAAACTACAAGAAAAAAAAACTTTTAGGTTGAAATAAAGTTATATAAAATACAAATGTATCAAATATTCGAAATTCAAGTTAAATTAAGGTATCAAATTTCAGAATAATTTGTAAATTTTTAGATACACTTCACAGATTTAAAGAATCTATTTTAAATACATGGATATAAATATTTTGCTTTGAACAAAAGACTATTTAAACCAAAATTAAAATTTTAAAAACAATTTAATTTACAATTAAAGATACCAAGAGAACGTGTACCATGTGATCAAAGGTGACCAAAATGTTTGTTCAATCTTTTGTAAATAAATATGTTAATATAGCAGTGACAAAAAAGGAAAATAAAACAGTAAAAAAAAAAAAGCAAACAACTTTTAAAATTAATGAAACTAATTGAAGTCCTCCTTGAATTGTATTACTTTTTTTTTCAAACCTACCTCTGTACATATTCATGTTTGATATATCTTGTGGGTGAACCTGTCGATAGCCCGTAGCCAAAGAGCCATAATTATCATTCAAAGGATCATAATCGGCAATTGATCCAATTTTTCGAGACGGTGGTTGATGTACTAAAAACATGCATAAAAATAATAATAAGCATAAAGCTGCAACTTAAAATGAAAAAGAAATAAACTTAAAATAAATAGATTTGATTTAAAAACTAATTAAAAATTAAGAGCTAAATAAAAATAAACATTCAAACATGTTTAGTAACCAAGTAAAAATTATAAGAATACAGTAATAAAATAAAGAGCAAAACTGTAAAAAGCAGCACAATAAAAATGAAACTATCTCAATACTTCGGAAACTAAAACTTTAATATCTAAGAAATAGTTGCAGTTAACACCTAAACTTGGGACTTGCAATTCACAAGACAAGAGTTCCGTTAAACAATCATTTAATTAAAGATTCACAATTGGGGAGGGAAGGTGCAACAAAAATTTGAAAGAGAAAATTTACTTTTAATTTATACACATTTAAAAAGTTTTCACGTCAAGAGTATAGATGATAAATGAGTTTTATATACACAATTAAGAGTAAATTTTAGAAAATTTGAAAGATCAAGTTTTAAAATGGTTTAACTTTTAAATATGTATGCAAATATTTAGTTAAAACATGAGATAAATGACGCAGCTTCTATGTTTTTTCTTCCAAAAGTATTATTATTTAATAAAAATGACAAATTTAAACACTTTTAAAACTTTTTTATGCCAAAATTACAAATATTTGAAAAACCGAAATTTATTTTTAGAATTATTACACACGTCAGCCATCTAATTAAATTTAATTTTTTGAATACAAGGCATAGCATGCCAACATCGATTTTTTTTGTACATATGCTATATCATTGATAAGCAAAGGATTAAAATAAAAAATTGAATGACACAAGAGCATGAATGGTGCTACGAATTCTACCGGGAGAGGGTAAAAAAAAAAAGGACTGACACCTTGAGGTTGTCAGACCTGTGCTTACTAAAAGTAACCAAATCTTCTGAAAGATTTAATTTTCAAGAGTTGAGAACATTGAACTAATAAAATATTAACAAATATTGCTTAAATAGAAAGCAATAATTATATTGAAAGGAATTAATTTATTTGATCATCCAATTTGTTTTTTAAAAACTAAATAGCACTTAGTTAAAATATTTTTTTTGTTCTTTAGTATATTATAAGAAAACTGCTTGGTGATTTAAAAAAAAAAATGCAAAATAAGCCCAGAAAAATAATAAAACCAAACTTGATTTTAGTAATGAGCCAATCATACTAAATTTCTTAATCAAAAATAACAATTAAAGCATATAGAAAATATTATAGTTTTTTAATGATGAATAAAAGCACCCACAAAAAAGACAAACAAAACATTAAAACAAAATTCAAAGTAGTAACAATAGCAACTAATTTTGGAACACTATGCATGAAAAGGAAAATTATTAATTCATGCTTTAATTACAATTATCAAGCAATAGAAGCAGCTATTTTTTCATTCAAAGGAACTTCACAAAATTCCTTTATTATTCATCTACAATTTAAGATTTGGCAAAAATAAACTACATGGCAAAACATTTCTACATGGTAAAATGGCAAAAAACATAAACTACATATAGCTCTGGCATACTTAATCAATTACAACTCACTACATTAACATATAATTACTCACTGCATGGTCCCCTACTGATTTAATGAAGGAATACATAAATTTGAAATTATACTCAATTTTAAGTTAATATAATAGCTGACAACAAGCACGGGAAAAAAAAGTTAAACATTAATTTTAAGCAAGGTTATTCTATGAACAGGGATGAGAGTAGTCAGAAAGTAAAAAAGAGGAAATCCAAGTATATATATATATATATATAAATCGCACTTTTTTGTCAAATTTTTGTTTAAACTTGTAATCCATTTGATTATAAATCCCGATATGAGGCTTTTAAATCACGTGAATATGAAACTCTACATCGAATTTAAAAAGTGCGAAAATACAAATCATGATGCGTAATTTTTAGATCAAGATGCATAATTTTAAAATCGCGCGATATTACAACCGCAAAAACGAATCACGACATTGGATTTTAAGCTCGCGTAGCTACATACGGTTTTAAAAGCTCGTAAATACAAATAGCGATATTGAGTTTTTAAATCTCGTAAATACGAGTCATAATGTACGATATTTATAAAGCATAAATAAGAATTGCAATGCGCAACTTTTAAATCAGGTAAATACGAAAATCAATGATTGATATTAAAATCGTGTGAATGAAAATCGAGATATTTGCAGAGTCTGGACTTGGGATTTCTAAAAGGATTGTTTGAATTGTTTTTTGTTTACACAATAAATAAAAATTTACAAGATTAATTGAATGAGCAAATAAATATTTTCACCACAAATCCACCTCTATTTTTTTTCGCTTTTTTTGTTTGCTTTCTCTCCAGAATACAAGAAGCAGCGACGTCTAAATTACGAAAATACGAGCTATCCCGCCGACGGATAAAAAATACGGAAAATCTTATTTTCTGTGCGTGAAATCGGAGAAAATAGCTAATATAAGTAAACATGCAGAAGGATTAGCAGCTAGGACGTAGTTTGAATTTTCTATTTTTCTTTGAAAATCGTAAATAAATATAATAATTTGACTTCAACGACTGAATTTTTAAAAAAAGAAACGGGATATTTATAAATAAATAAATAAAAAAAATGAAACTTTTAGAGAATCTGAGTTTCTGATGAAGAGGCTGAAATTCGAGACAAAAGCGAAAAAAATCTCACCCCTGTATAAAGGTCAACCAGTTTTATCCCAAGGAAATGATTTTTAGAGAAACTTCAGAGGGAGGAATGAGGACTTCAATAATTTCGCTCTGCGGAAAATTAAATTCCTCATAAAATATTTTAACTTGCGCAAAAAAAAATTTCAGCGGAAATTAGCGAGAAAAATGGAAAAATCTGAGAAAAAGCGGAAATCCGCGAAAGAATCTCATCCCTGTATAATATACATAGGATTTCCCCCACACAGATTTTAAATGGAAAAATTCACCAATTTTTTTTTAAAAGTATATAAAAATTACACTTAGAGTTAAACTCTGAATAATCAACTAGAGAGTAATATCTCACAAAAATTAATAGAAAAACATTTCTAGCCCTATACTTTGTATTTCTGTCCAGAACAAAGTACTATAAAAATATTAAATCTAGTCTAAAAATTAAATATTTAAAAAAAAAATATAAGTATTTCAAAAGGGATGACTAACATTACGTAGAGTAAAAAGAAAAATGACTAAAAGGTTGATACTAATTAAACAATAAAAAAATATTTTTGTTAAACATAATCAGTCAATAAAAGAATAAAACAGTAAAAAAAAAAAAAAAAAANAAAAAAAAAAAAAAAAAAAAAAAAAAAAAAAAAAAAAAAAAAAAAAAAAAAAACACTTTTTGATACATTTACTGAAAATTTTTGAGATAATTAATCGACCTGCTCCAGGAAGTTTTATAACATATTATTTTTTTGATCAACTTCTATTCTCTCTTTACCTATAACAAAGTTTAGCAATGATTCCACCATTTACAAATCTTAATTTCCATAAATATTGATTGTTTTTTTTTGTTGTCTTCTACACAAAAATTTAATTATGATTCTCTATACAAACAATTTACAGCCTTATGCACAAATTTGGCAGGAAAATAACACAAGGCCAACATACAGTAATGGTCAATTTAAAACAGTGTTTTTAAATAAGCTGGACAGAAAATAAGAAATAATTATTTGTTGACAGAAAATATCAGGCACATTCAGAATAACAATAACCCCTCTAATAATTCAAATTGACTGCAACAATTTTTGCTTTAGTGTATCAATTTGTGAGAATTAAAAAAATATGAAATTTTTCTAAATAAAAATGACATTTCTAAATAAAAAACTGTTTTATGGACTATTTATGATTTTTTAATTATAAACAGTAGAAATTACTTCATCCCAAATATTTCAAACAAATAACTAATTAAAAACAAAGAAACGATTAATATAAAAATTTAGTTATTACTTAACATTTGATTTGTTATTTAATCATAGTATTACCTATTTTTGAAATGTAATCTAGAGACTATTTTAGAAATAGAGTTCAGAGCAGACTTTATTTAGAAAAAAAAAAAGTTTCAAACTATAGTTTGAGATTTTTCTTCAGCCAGACAATTCTTGATGTTTTTGTTTTCTGATTTTTTAAAAAAGAGTATTGTTTGTTTTCAGTTGAGAATTTTCATTTTTCCTACTTAAGGAGTTGGTAAACTGTTAATTGAGTATGACAAAATATTTCGTAACACAAACTATTACTGCAAAAGGTATAAAAAAATTTTCATGACAGAAATTACTTGAGGTGTGATGATATTGAATGATGTTTATTTCCCAGATAAAAGGTTAATTAAGCTTTGAAATGAAGTTATAGAAAAAATTTTGTTGTATTTTCCGTTACATGTAACACTAAATTATAACTTTTAAGTCAAGTGAAAATGTAAATAAGAATTACAAAAACAAAATTTTGGAAAAGTAATTTCTTTTTAAAATTTTATCAAAATTTTATTTATACATAAAAAACAATGTAGCATAAATAAGAAAATCCAGCAGAGCTGGCAACTATAGAATGATTTTGAATTTTACTTTTTCACATTGTAAAAAATATATTAGGGCACATAAAGCAAACTAATTTAATTTAAAAAAACAATAGGGGAAAAAAGAATATTGTATAAAAAAGGTCTTGATCAATTTAAATACCTGGACCTTCTTGAGAAGTGTAGATGACAGTGGATGTAAGTTTGGCAGAATATGGCGAGTCTTTTTGTTCTGGGGCAATTTTAGGTACATAATCAGAGATCCGGCCAGGAGGGGACTGAGGAGGAGGGTGATGGGGCTGGGATGCTGCTGCTAGATTTTTCACATCACAGTTAGCCACACACAATTCATACAGCAACAAAGGTTAAACAATTCATTTCCCATCACCAACAAGAAAGTACAAGAAAGCAGAAGAGAGAAAAAAAACCTTTTAGTTAAAAGAAGAAGCACACAGATAGTCAATATGTTTACACAATTAGTAAAGGAAATAGGTGTGTTAAATTCATCAATTGAAATTAGATTAGAATAGTGATCAGGCTGTATAATGAACAATACAGACATGCATAAATTAAAACAAATAATATGCCTGCAACACTCAAATTGATATAAAACCTATTATATTAAAATTTTTCCATGATAAATCTTTCGAATATTTTAATAAATCAGGCTATCATTTCTTTGAGTCTGATACGATAGAATAATAAAATATTAATTTTCTGTTAAAAAAATAATAAAATAACATAAGTTTAAAAATAAACATAAGTAAATTAATGGTTGAAATTTATTGTTTGAAATCTTTGAATATGAAATTGTTCTCCCTCTGGCATCAATTTTCTATATTAAATATAAAATTTGCAAATGTATAGGTGTACCCATACAACAATAAAAAAAAAGATTGATTTTTTGAACCATTGTTTTGAACCTGATACAATAGAATAAAATATTAACTTTTAGAAGAAAAAAAATCATAACTTCAAAATTAAAATTAATGAAATTTAAAATTAAACATAAGTAAATTAACGGATTATTGTCTTGATTGAAATATTTGAATATGAAATTGCTCTCCCTCTGGACGCAATTTCCTAATTTAAATATAAAATTTGCAAATGTATCAGTGTACCTAAAAAACAATAAACAAATATATTGTATGATTGCATGCATTAGCATTAAATTTCAATATGTCAGTTAGATTATTTTTATAACTGCCGTTGAACAGCTGAGTTAATGGATTGAACCTGTATGCGTCTCGTGGAGAGATAAACCATGAACAGCTCTTACTGTTAGTCTGACGGCAAAGGGACTCTAACCCATGATCCGCTGCCACTGAGGATATTTTAACCCCTTAACTGCCGCGGGCGCATATATACGTCTCGGCTAGACGATGCGTTAACTGACGCAGGCGTATATATACGATTTCCCGAAGTACGATGCTTTGCATTGCGCTACTATAAATAGAACTGCACCCCCTACTTCAGAATGCAGTAAAATGACCATGAAAGTGTTTGCTTTGCGAATGTATAACTAATTTTGGAGAAGGGGGAATAGGAAAAAGATGTTATGGAAAAAAGATATCGTATCAATCGCTTGCGTGTCTCAATTTGAGTAAGGTTGGGTTTATTCTTTTTTCGTTTCCTGTGTGTATTTGGTGCTTTTTATTCCTTTCATCAACGTCTTCAAAGAAAAATGCATCGCGAAAATGTGCTGTTTGTTCAAGAAAAAAATTAGTCGTGAATCCCGCTATCAGTGCAATGAATGTGATGTTGGTTTATGTGCCCAACCATGTTTCAAGATTTATCATACAACAGCTAAGTTTTAACATCTTTTATATTGCATTTTTATTATTTAATTTAAATTTTGTATTTTCTTTCTTTCCTTTTTCTTGTCTTGTAAAAGTAAACTGTTCTTAAATTGCAATGCATGCATCATTTCCCCTACCAAAACACCGTGTAAGAAAGTGCACTTGAGCGAAAAACGGTGGCACTGGGGAGTGAATCACGTAAATTTTACTCGGCAGTTACGGGGTTAAATCAGCACTGTTGTCAATGTAAGCCAGGTGTTGAATTCATATCGACCGTCCATTGCTGGGATTTGAACCTGGTTCACCTTATTGGGAGGCGAAAGCTATCCCAAAGCTCTATCAGTTAAATTAGTAAGAACCAATCTATTGCTTGAAGTATTACTTTAAATTTTAGAAGTGAGAAATCAGGTAGAATTTATTAATTTAGTCATAGGTAATATTACTTAAATAAAAAAAATTATTAATGTTGCATAAAATTTTTTGTTAAATACATACACATTATAATCACATAAAGTTAATAGAAAAGTATTTCAAAATAATATTTAGTTTCTATAAATTGACAAAGAGCTTGCAATATTCTAGCAATCTTTTTAAAACTGACATTTTTCTTGACAAAACTATATATTCGATAATATAGCTCAGCACATTAATAACGGCAAACTAAAAAAGATTTGTGCACTATAATTTCAGTGAAAAAAATATATACTATGATCCAAAATAAAAATAAATGGAGTAATCTTTTATAAAAATACAGAAATTTTTAACAAAAAATATTGTTTTAAAAATTCATTTCTGTTCCTTAAATATTTAGCGTGAAAAAATATAATACGGTACAGAACCCGTTATCAGGAAATCAGAAAACCGGAACGACATTCGATAAATTTTCTCGCCATTTTTTTAAAAAATGTCTTTTTCCTCATGTAGCGATTCAGAAAACCGGAAAAATCAGTTATCCGGAATAGCGATGGTCCCGATCGTTCCGGATAATTGGTTCCCTACTGTACATAACTTATGTAAGAAAAACACTTGAATTATTATTAACATTTCAAATTAAGAAGAATAAAGCATCGCAAATACAGTCACAAGATATAGCACATGTTATTCAAAAAAACAAGAAATAATTTTCACAAGAATGATGCAAGATAAGTATCGTGAACAAAATAGAAAAGTAAAATTAAATTACCATTATTAGGTGGAGTATAATCATTGTACTCTGGACTTCTACTAATGTCTCCACCACCTGGAAAATTAAATATAACTTCAGAAATATTGTTACTCTAACAGAGCAAAACAAAATATTATATAAATGAGAGAAGATAACAAATATTATCATTATTACAAAATAGTTTTGTTTTTAATGCAAAAAGGAAAACTTGCCATTCAATGGAACAGCAACCCCATTTTTAGTCTCTGGTACCAAATGACGCTTCTGCTCCATCTGTTTCTTCCTTTCCAATTCTCCGTGGTAAGAGACATTGCTTATAATTTTTGAAGTATTTCGAATCCTCAGTGTTTCTGGATCATCTGCAACTTGTGTGAATTTTCCTTTTGCCTTCTCGAAATCTTCATGGTACTTTACCTAATAACAATTAAATATGAGGTAATTCAAGGGAAAAAAAGGAATATATCTATTCCTTTAGATACAGCTAATACTGAAGTAAAATCAATATATATAT